AATATGAGACAAATACACTTCCACTAAACTTCCACTTTTAGTTATAGCCAATAGGAACATTTCATTTCCGTAGGCTTAAACTCAAATTTCAAATGAATTTATAAGGCACATTTGCTTATTAAACTTTATTTCTTATTCATACACAAACTCAATATTACAAATCCAAATACTTATTAATATTGGGTTCCAACAAAATAACTACTCTGTAACTTTGTGTCTCTTCTAAAAAATTGTATTGCCTTATTTTTTATTTTCTTTTTGCCGAGGCAATACAAACTTTATAATGTGCGTTTGTAAAATATCCTTCATTATTAATGATACTTACAGTTGTAGCAAAAAAAAAAAACAAAATATTTGTTCTCGTGTTCACCGCAATATGTATAAATTGTGAAAGCAACGGAGAAAATTCAATGGATAAATATATGAACATGGTCATGCCATGTAATCCATAAATGCTCACATGCATGGGGATTAGATATATAACTTCACTATAATAAAATTATAAAATATCCTCTATGTTAAAGGAGTTTAGATCGAATTTCTAGTTGGTGTTAATTTGATGTTCGATTTCAATAGAAACTATACAGTCAATAAGAATATTAATTCCCTACTATACGTTTTAACAAACAAACAAAAAAATCATATACATATGCAATTATCATTTTTTCCAACAAAATGCAATATTGCGAATTTAAATCCGTACAGTGATATAATTAATGGTTCTTGCAGCTCACTACATTGCATGTTATGGTTATAAAATTGTAATTTCTAAGGACAATAACATAGCTTTAAGCCTTTAATACAAACACACATATATAAAGGTTTGGATCAGTCTCTCCTTCTTGTTAATGGGTCTATTGAAAACAGTTTAAGAACATTGAATCATGTTATTATAATCTTCCGTTAAAATCAGTTACAAACAAAATTAAAAACTCGTGAAAAAAGGTTTACAAAAATAACAAGAAATGTAATTGACTTGATAAATATGTGCTAAACCAAAAGACAAGTCATCCACTAAATACACGTCGTAGATGATTCGTGTGAAACTCTTATCAAATGTTAATGAATGATCAAGGATTCAAGAGTAAATATAATTTTTCTTCATACACATTTTCTTCATTGTTATAGCGTTTATAAAGAGCTGAAAATTCTAAGAAATTAGTATGGGCATCAAGCCGTTACAGCCGTAAAACAAACTCCAACTAATTAACAAAAAAAACAGCAAAAAAAGAAAGAAAAGTCAATGGAAGAAACCACTTGACCGAAGAGCAAGAACATGACATTATATTGATAAAATAATTTAATAGAGATTGTTAAAATTGAACCATACACTTCCTTATCTCTTCTTTTCGTTGACTCCATCATTTTCTCTTAAGTCTTCCTATGTTCGTACCCTTAGGATGGTAGAGCATTAATATCGCAAAGACCAATATGGGTCTCTTTAGCCATTTAAAATTATTTTTTTTGTGTTTGGAGAAACTCTAAAGAGACTGTATGTTTTAGGCTGAATATTGGTAGAAACATGACTGGGTTTCTTTTTAAAAAAAAATTAAAATAAATTATTTTATAAACATAATTATTTTATTTAAACATATTTAATACAATGTATTAATACAAATAAAACATATAACAATACATTAATACAAATAAAACATAAAATTTTCTCTAAATGTTTAGTTGTTAACATAAAAATGTCCAAATCTTTGCCATAGATGTTCGACCAAATCTGATTTCAATTGCACATGGGTTTTGTTATCACGAACTCTTTGCCGAGCATTCAGCGTATCAACAATATTTGAAGCCATGGTTGTGGAATACGAGAGATCCACAGTTGAAGCTACATCTGCTTTTATTTCTTTCAGTCATCGACTTTTATTACTTCATCAAAGCAGGAGATACTAGAGATTAATGAGTTAACAACTACCTAACCACCAAGAATTTTAATACAATAACAAAGGAAGACATGACCGTAAGGAGAACTGCATTGATCACCTATCTAAACATGACAAGACCTTAACCTAACAAAGCATTCATACCTATCTAACTATCCAATTTATCACCATTATCTATACAGTAATACACATTTATTACGTAGTAATACCTATACTTTAAACTTCAAGGACACTTTCAACTTACCTCATCATGACTCTCGCTTTGATGCATTTATACAAGTCTCGCTTGTAACTTGTAAACCCCAAAAAACCTGCATACGACGACATTAAGACTTAGAGGATGCCAAAAATTAAACCTGTATAACTTAAGGAAGAGAATGAACTGAAGAAACTTATCTAGTCTTGTGAAGCAATCATCTCCATTTGTCTCTAATTGTTTCCTTCATGATGTAAACAGCAAACGAGAGTCAACTTAAAGCCACGATAACCTTATGAAGTTTGAAAGAGATCAAGAAACTCTAGTTACTTGATGAAACTTGGCAATTATTTCGGCTGCACAAGAGAAAACAGAGTTAGCTCAACAAAAAGACAAGACAACTAAAACAAATAAAAGACAATTCAGTTGGTGGCACTTACATGATGTGAAAGATCAGCATCCATAGCGTGAAAACGAAAACCAGAAGACATGATCTTAACGTTTGACTTAATTCTCTCTGCTTCTTTAGCTCTCGATCACATTCGTCGCCGGCTAAACTCAACACCAGACCAAAGTATCTCGCAAACAAAAACAGACCAGGTTCGATTAGAAAACAATGGAACAAAGTAACTCGCAAAAATTGTTTCATACCCTGAACCCCATATTTTCCGAAACCTATAATCACTTTCAATCGATTTACAAATTAAAACCACCGGAGATCGAGGGTATAGTTTGGGATTAGGTTAACACCGATTACCTGGATAGATCGTCGGTGAGATGCCAGAAACCGCCGGAGATACAGCTGCTGTCGGAGAGAACCCGCCGGAGGAATTGAAACGTCGACATCGCCCAAATCGCCTTTCCACAGAGGGAAAACCGTGTTTTCAGAAAAAATAGTCGACGAAAAAACAATTAGGGCAGAGCAAAAAAAAATTTCTCCCCAATTTTTCACAACCAGTCACAATCGCCCACGTGTACAAGAGAAACGTCTTCTATTTGTCCCCAAAATAGAAACGTCTCTCCAACTTTTGGCCCAACTTTACTTATTTTATTAATTTTTTTGGGCTAAGAGACGTGGCCCGTTTTAGCGATATTAATGATTTTAGAATACTTCTATGAACTCTCCTCCTTCACATTTTAAATAAGGCCTAGCAATAATTATATGTTTTGATCTGTCATATGTTTTGATCTGTCATATGTTTTGATTTTTATTCGAAGAATATAAATATCTATAACTTTACTAAAAATATGTTACTAAAATTTCATATATATTAAAATGGAATAAATCACAAATAATAAAATTTTACACTCTGTTCCATTCTGATTTTAGTAATTACATATATAATTTTAATAATTCTTCTATTTATATGCATGTTTTATAAATTTATACTCATAAAATTAATTATTCAAATATTAAAGCTTAAAAAAGAATCACCATGATTTTTTTTTGTCAACAGACTCGTCATGGTTTGAACACTGATTTTGGTAACAAATTAACAAAGCTTCACCATGCTATGTAAATAATAAAATAAAGTAGTATGGTCACAGGGGAGGAATTGGACTAATCGATATATGCAGAATGATTTCTCTTATAACATTCTCTCCAGTTATCAAAAATACCGAATTGATTTTGAGAGATGTAGTATGAGTAGTATGATTGTTGAAAGATCCATAGACCCAAAAAAAGAGACAGGAGAGAGAGATATGATGTGTATTTCTCAAAATCACAACTAAATAAAACAATTGATGTGATTTTTCCACTAGCAATGAAATGGCCTGGTCTGATGACTCAGATGTCTGAACAGAAATATAAAATTCATATGTTTAACAGAAAGCAATACAACGTTTTAAAATCGCACAAAATATCCATAACGGGCTGTTTAGTAACATGTTGTCGGCGGTCAACGCTAAAAACTTGTTTAGACGTAGTTTCTCGCGTTTCCATTTACATAGAAGAGCGAATCCCAATGAAAATTAGTTGCGTCTCTATCTATATAATAGTAGGAGTAACAACCAATACTTTTATATTCCAAAAGTATCGTTATAACACTTTTTTTATATTTCAAAAAGAATGTCGTTTTAGAATTACAATGTAATTTTTAACATAAAATACCATTTTTAATTTCAATAAATTCAGAAAATTAATTATAAATATAATTCCAAAAGTCATTTTCTGCAAATTAATAAGGGTATAAAAGACCTTTTATCTTATTTTTTAATTCGTGTGAAAAATGTCAGAATAACACTTTTTGTAAAACAAAAGGAATATTCTACAACAAATATCTCTTTTATATATTTTTATTGGCGTATATATTTTATTTTCCCAAGTAATATTGTATATTTTCTTCGATTTACAAAGTCTCTTTAAAAATTCTTCTGTTCTAAAAAATGTCGTTCGATATTGATAATGTCACTTTTCACATTCTTATTCCTTGTTCAAAACACATAATTGCACAACAAATTATGTAAATTTAATTATTGATTTATATTTATATTATAGGTTTTTTAATCTACGTAAAATTATCCCAATAACAATTTGTATAACATAGAGGGAATAAATGTTTTCGTATATATAGACGACAATTAAGATGATTTAATGAGAGGTGTGAACAAAGAGAACGGCGTTCTTCTCCCACTTTTTTCAGTCAATATAGGATAACTTATAAAGCAGAAACGTATAGCTTATATACCTTGATGAGTCAGTAAATTACATTATCATTCATGTTTAATTACTGTTTTTTTTAAAAAAAGAACTATGCTGTAATTGGTCAAATATATTAGCAGGGTTTTTTTAACAGCTATATTCATTAATATTAGCAGATTCTTTATCCAAAAAAATGTATTAGCAGATTCCAGCTCATAAACCTTGTGCCCATCTCCACAAGTAGTTTGTGAAGTCAAACAAAAACTTCCACTTTTTAACTCTCTCTCGTAATATTCAAACTAATTAAGTCCATATATATAGATGTACCAGTCTGTATAATCTTCACGAGGAGCGTTAGATATTTAGTCATAATATCTCTCAGAAGTGTGAGAACTCGTTAAGCTCTTCTTCTCTCCCTTTCCATCTCTCTCTCTCCCTCAATCTCTCTCAGTGACACCATGGTAACTCAACCTCCTCAAGATGATTATGTGAGTCTCTCTCTCTCTCTCTCTCTCTCTCTCTCTCTCTCTCTCTTCTCTGTTTTACTCCCCTTATTGTGATTAAGATCTTGATTTTGTTGAGTTTTGGTTAAACGGGTAATTTCTCAGGAACAAACTAAGTATGAAATGGAGTCTTTTTATTTAAGTGATGTTAATTTTTTGTTGTTTTTAGCCTCGCCCACTGATTTTCTTAATTTCAGATATTTTTACTGTCGCCATTTTTTCTCAAAGATCAATCTTTGTTTTAGATTTAACTGTGGTGCTTAGAGATAGATGGAATGAGAATTTCTTCTTCTTTTTTGGGTCAAAGATGGAGAAAAAATTTAAGAACTCAAAGCCAAACTATCAAGTTAAGATTATTGACTTTTTGACTTCAGACTAATTGAAAGCTTACGTTGTTTACAATTTTTATTCTTAAAAAAATTTCCGAGACATTAAAATATAACTCTATGGTTCCAATATTATGTATAATTTCTTTCAAATTGATATAATTGAGTTATTACAAGTTAGAGGACAAAAAAAAAAGATTCGTCTGTTCTTTACTTTTTGTTCGTATGTTTAGATCTTACTTTTAAAGATACCGTACTAGTCAGTTTCAGACTTTTCCAAAGTTCAGGGAACTTATAGTTGAACCCACCTAGACCGCCGTCTAAAAAGGCCAACAAAATCTTCCAAATTCCACCTATATACTTTTAGTTTATTCGCCTTTTACCCCCAAAGTTACTATTTAAACCAAAAATCATGAAATCAGCAAAGACTTTGCCTCCATTAATTTTGTGGACTAAACACAATTGACTTCTTCTTTACCTATTGTGCGTAGATTAGATCTTTAACTTTAAGGTTGGTTTACAATTTTAGATCTTCCTAAATCCACCCGTTTACTTTTACTTTATTCTCATTTTGCCCCATAAGTTACTATATCTAACTTTACAGCCCAAAAATCATGAGCAAACCAATTGACTTTTTTTTTCCTCCAATTGAATTTTGTGAAATTAAAGCAGGACGATGAGAAAACATCGAGACAAAAAGAAATCGAAGATTGGTTACCAATTACTTCATCGAGAAATGCAAAATGGTGGTACTCTGCTTTTCACAATGTCACCGCCATGGTTGGTGCCGGAGTTCTCGGCCTCCCTTACGCCATGTCTCAGCTCGGCTGGTAAAATCTCCAATCCTAACCGGTTCTTGATCTAAACCGGATCTATCAAGATTAAAAATTGAATTTTTGTGATATATTTTTATTCAGGGGACCAGGAGTTGCAGTTTTGGTTCTCTCATGGATCATAACACTATACACACTATGGCAAATGGTGGAGATGCACGAAATGGTTCCGGGGAAGCGTTTCGATCGCTACCACGAACTCGGACAACACGCGTTTGGAGAAAAACTCGGTCTTTACATCGTCGTGCCGCAACAGCTGATCGTGGAAATAGGCGTTTGCATCGTTTATATGGTCACTGGAGGCAAATCGTTAAAGAAATTTCATGAGCTTGTTTGTGAAGATTGCAAATCCATCAAACTTACTTACTTCATCATGATCTTCGCTTCTGTTCACTTCGTCCTCTCTCATCTTCCCAATTTCAATTCCATCTCCGGCGTTTCTCTCGCCGCCGCCGTTATGTCTCTCAGGTATATTACTTTAACCGGTTTCTTAAATTACGCAACCAATCTTAACCGATTTTTAGATATTGGTTATGTAACCAATCTCAACCGAGAAAATTACATTTTGGAAATGGGAATTTCGATTTGGTTCGGGTTTGTGGATCATTTTGGTTGAGATATCCAAACCGAATATATTTTGGTTTTGTTCGGTTTTAGCAATACAAATCGTTTTTTTGTTTAATTTTCGAAACTGAGGGTGGAAAAATAGAAATTATATTTCGGTTTGGTTTAGATATCAAAATCCGAATGCAGTTACTATTATAGTTAGGTACAGTTTTGGGGTTAATTCTGATTAAGGTATTCGAGCTGAATCTATTCGGTTTATTCCGGTTTGTGTAGTTCCACCTAGGCTTAAACACTCATTAATTCGGTTCGTAACGAATGTCTGGAGATCAAAATGTTGTGGTTCGGTTTGCTTGGATTAATTCGAGTTCATTTCGGTTTGGTTTTAGTCTCTGGTTTATTAAAACTCGGTTTTCTCTAAACTCATTAACCGTTTTTAAATCTCTTTCCTTTTGATTTTATAGCTACTCAACAATCGCATGGGCAGCTTCAGCGAGCAAAGGCGTTCAAGAAGACGTTGAATATGGTTATAAAGCGAAATCAACGGCCGGTACGGTTTTCAATTTCTTCAGCGGTTTAGGTGATGTAGCGTTTGCTTACGCGGGACACAACGTGGTTCTTGAGATCCAAGCAACGATCCCTTCGACTCCTGAGAAACCTTCAAAAGGTCCGATGTGGAGAGGAGTCATCGTCGCTTACATCGTCGTGGCGCTTTGTTATTTTCCGGTGGCTCTCGTCGGATATTATATCTTCGGGAACAATGTGGAAGATAACATTCTCATGTCACTCAAGAAACCGGCTTGGTTAATTGCGACGGCGAACATCTTTGTCGTGATCCACGTCATCGGTAGTTACCAGGTCGGTTAATCTAAACCGGATTTTTTAGTCTCTTTTTTTTTTGGTATAGAGAATCGAAATTGACGGAATTGTAATCAAATCTTGGTTTTGTTGCAGATATATGCGATGCCGGTTTTCGACATGATGGAAACGTTGTTGGTTAAGAAGCTCAATTTTAGACCGACCACGATTCTCCGGTTCTGTGTCCGCAGTTTCTACGTTGGTAAGAAAATAACTCAAATTAATACTGTTTGTTACACTGAACTTCTTTATATAGTGAGAAAGTTTAATTCGGTTTACACGGTTATCTACTAACCAATATAGATAAATCTGATTTTGGTTTCTTTTTGGTTGATGTAGCTGCAACTATGTTTGTTGGTATGACGTTTCCGTTTTTCGGTGGGCTTTTGGCGTTCTTTGGTGGATTTGCGTTTGCCCCAACGACATACTTCGTAAGATTGCGATTTGGAAACGCTTTTTTGTCCACTTCGAATTAATATATTATAGTAATATAAATTAGCCTAATTTTAATATTATTATCTTTTTGTTTTTTTTTTTCAGCTTCCTTGCATAATTTGGTTAGCCATCTACAAACCCAGAAAATACAGCTTGTCTTGGTGGGCCAATTGGGTAAGTAAACGTTATTATTACTTTTTAGCGTTTGCAATCAGCGATTGCGTTTTGTGAAACTGTTTTCTGAATAAATAGTGTGTTGTTTATTTCAGGTATGTATTGTATTTGGTCTTTTCTTAATGGTCTTGTCGCCGATTGGAGGGTTAAGGACGATCGTTATTCAATCAAAGGGATACAAGTTTTACTCGTAAATGCAATGTAATATGACTAATGTTAAGAAACATATTACTACATTAGTATATGTGTGAAAAAAGATTTGAAAAGATCAACTCGAGACAGAAGAATCAGTGGTCGCCTGAATTTGAAATAGCTTTTAGGCTTGTATTTTTCTGTGTTTATAGATAGTAATGTTATATAAAACAATATATTATATATGTTGTTGTGCCAAAAAAGACTATATTATGTTCTTTCTGTTTCCAAAGTGTTTGGTTTTATGTGAATTTGATTCTTTGTGTTCCCAAAAACAAAATGATAGGCATTTCATATCCTGTTGAGTCTTAATCTCTATTCTCCTTTGGAGGTCATCCTGTTTCATATGAAAGGTAAATTCTAAGAAAAAAAAATCGCAAACCTGAGAAACATAGTGAAACAGTAAAACAAAGTGAAATAATATCTACTCATTTAACATGTGTAAAATCCAATCCAACAATAAAACATTAATATTAATATATTAGATTATTTTGCGTGTTGGTTTGGATACAAATCTATTTAACATGTGTTTTCAGTATTTGAGTTTATAAAATTTTGGAGAGCCATTATTTTTATATACTTATTGTTTTATATATTTAGTAAAGTTTGGACGAATAGTCAAAATCTCATGACCAATTTTTACATAATTATTTTTTTTGTTTTTAACTAATATTTTAACTCTTAAAGCCACCTCTGAATGGCTATGTGAGACTGAACATATGGTGTGATTTTTCTTTAACGGTCTTATGTGACTGGTTTATACACAAAACCAAAACAAAAAACTAAAACAAGGAACTTATTTGGAGGGACAAACTTGTTTATTTTTCTCGTCAAGGACCTCCAAGTATTTAGAATTATCATCCTTGAGGACAAGGATGTTCTCAAGAGAGGAGTATCAATTATAGCAGAATTTCTCCTGTATCTCATTTCAATCAACTTATGGACCTTATTTTATTTGGTTCAGCTATTATGTGAAATCGGTTTTGTGTGTTAAATCATTAGCTATTTCCAGCAAACAATATATGTAGGTCTTCTCAACTATTTGAGAAATTAATCAATCAAATATCAAAACCTATATATCTTCTTCCTTTATACTCTATCAACATTTTCATCAATCCACCATTGAATCTCTGTTCTTCGAAGGTGACTCTTCTTCATCTATGACCACCTTCTAGTTTTGATTCACTCTATTTTTGGATTCAAAGGAAGCTCCTAGACTGGGATCTATCGGTTACTTTATACTCTATCATCATCTTCATCAATCCACCTCTGGATCTCTGTTCTTTGAAGGTGACTCGTCTTCCTCTGTAACAACCTTCTAGATTTGATTCACCCTATCTTCAGGTTCAAAGGGAGCTCCTAGACTGGGATCTATCAGTTACTTTATCTTCCCATTACAAAACGTGACCAAACATAAAAAGAGAAGGGGAGGAAGAATTTGCTGTAATCAGCTATTACAGTCAAAAGATAGAGAAACCAGAAAGACATTTCAATGTCTAGACCAACAAAGTAACAAAGATTCAACATGATCTGAACATTGATTTTGATAAAAAAAAAAAGTTACAAAGCTTCACCATGCTATATATGTAAATTGTAAATCATAAAATACAAATACTCGAAATATTCAAAATAATCTCTCAAATTTATAGTGTGCTCTCTAGCTATCAAAAACACCGATTTGATTTTGAGAGATGTAGTCTACATGAAGAGGATCCACAGACCAAACAAAAAAACAGACAGAGAAATGATGTGTATAACTCAAATTCACAATCAAATATAACAATTGATGTGTTTTCCCACAAGCAAAAAACTAAAGGAATAAATGGCTTGGTATGATGACTTAGATCAGTCAGATGTCTGAACAGAATTATGAAAATTTCCATGTTTGACAGAAAGCAAAATTTACATAACGTTTTAAAATCGCGCAAAACATCCATAGTGGGCTGTTTGGGAACAAGCTGTCGGCGGTCAACGCTAAAAACTTGTGTTAAATGCAATTTCTAGCGTCTCTGTTACATAGTCTCTATCTATAGCCAATAACCAAAGACTATTCTGTCATTTTCTGATTCCAAAGTGTTTAATTTTATGTGAGTTTGATTCTTTGTGTTCTCAAGACAAAGACATTTCATATCCTGTTGAGTCTTAAGGTCTTAAGTTTTATCATTATGATCCATTAATTAAATCAATGGTTATCAGGAAGATTTTATCAATCAATTGAGTTTTGGGCTAGCTAGTGACAAGTTCCCAACTCTAAAAATTGTGCATTAACGTAGTTCGATTTCCATTTGAGAGGAAATGTGTTTTATAGAGAGTATATGGATTTCGACCTACACCAAGAAATGGATTAATTAAAACGAGATGATTGAGATATTTTTGTTTTGACTGTGATTTCATATTTCACATATAACAACAACATGCAAATTAGCGAGAAAAAAAAAACTAGAAGAAAATCGAAATCTTAGAGAGGAAAATGATTTGATGCAGTTACCTGTCTAGAGTTTCTAATATTAATCATATGAATATATATATATATATATAATGACCCAAAACTTGATTTCATGAAGAATAGAAAACTGGCTACCATACATTCAGTGGCGGAGCCACTTACAAGTTATTGGGGTCATTGGCCCCAGTAGATTTTTAAAAATTAGAACAACTTATTAAAGCCCAGTTTTAATGTCTCCATTGATTAAATTATATATGCCCCATTCTCTTATTTATTAAACCCAAACTAATAAAATTGGATTTTTAAGCCCTTAAGCCCAATAAACAAACAAGAGTGTTCATTAAAACATATATTGTAATCTTTTCGTATAAAGTATTTATGGTTTTCTCTCTCAGGCACATCCTCCAAGAGAGTTTTTACCTTCCTGGTTTCCCTCCTTTTTTGAATATCTATCTGGTTTATTACCCAAAATAGAAACCTTATCTCCTCCTTACCACCTTGGGAATCCAAAACCCCGGGTTCCAGCCCCCGACGCTAGTCGGCGGGTCCGCTGCTCCTCCGCCTCCTTCCGGCGATGGTAGTATCCTCTCTTCTAGCTTATCGAAGGGATAGTGGTGGTGACATCTAGGAACCATCTCTCTATCCTCTCCTCTAGATCTTGGTGTAAACCAGTCTCAACCCTCTCACTCTGTCTCATCTTTTCGACCGCGATGTCCTCCAGAATCCCCGCACAAATGAAAGGAAAGGCTTTGGCATCTTCTCAGGATGACCCAAGGTCCATCCGCGTCAAAGTAAGAGAATCGGACAACTCTGCACTTCTCCTCAAACACTCCTTAACTCTGGTGGGGCGTGTCACAAACCCTAAGTACCAGAAAGTCTGGTCTCTTGTTCCATTCTTCACGAACAGATGGAAAACATCGGTCCGTCCTATCGGTGCAGACCTTGGTGAAGGGCACTTCTAATTCCAGTTCGATAACGAAGAGGACTTGCAACTCATCCTCCAAAACCGACCATACCACTATGCGAAATGGATGCTCATCATCCAGCGCTGGGAACCAACGGTGTCAAGATCCTTTCCTTTCCAAATTCCGTTCTGGATCCAAATCCAACGCTTTCCAGTCCACCTATGGACCTACGAAACCATCAAAAGCATTGGTGACTCTCTGGGGCTATGTGAGGATGTGGAAATCACTTCTATATCTGCAAAAATCAGAGTTCACATAAACGCTCTCAAACCCCTGGTCACTACCTCGGTTGTGGAATATCCCGATGGAGAGGAGGTTCAGGCTTCACTCGTCTACGAGAAGCTAGAGCGCCATTGCTCGTGGTGTATGATGTTAACCCACGAGGACAAGGAGTGCCTCGAATTCCCCATGTCAGGGTTGAACGATAAGGAGGACCTTTCCAAAAATTACCTGGACCCTAATGATGCTAGGAACGACATTGAAAGAGCGAAACTATGCCATACCTCACAGGAACGAGAGGTAAATCGTAGGCACCTCCTCCCGCCTCGTGTTCCCCTTCCTGTTGATGGTCCACCCCCTGGGTATCGCTCCTCCCTTCATGGCTCAGGTAATCACAGAGGAAAGGGCTCCATATCTAGGTTCCACTCAATCACCCAGGAAGACAGTTCTGACTCACGCAGACCCTCAAACCTCCGTAGGGATACCTCAAGCCGTACTGGGTCTGAGAATCGGTCCTCCTCTACGAGACCTGGCAAAGCAGAGCGTGCTCGCCTCAAGGAAGCTTCCTCCCTCATTCCTCCCCGCTGGGAAAGAGTGGAATCCTCGAGACTTCCAAGATCTCCTATTGGCTCTCTTGAGAACCCACTCACCCCTCCTCCTGCTCTCCCGAGGGATGCCCTGCACAACGCGATTGAGGAAGTGAGAGAAGTTATGGAAAAATACTCAAATGTACCTGACCCTACTGAGAGTGCGGCAAGAAAAGAACGCCTCCGGCAAGCTGAGGAATCCGGACAGCTAGTGGAGACTGCTGTCCAAATGCTTCAAGCCAACCGATCTTGAGACTGAAACCCCCTCCCCAAAATCTAATCGCATCCCGGCTTCCCAAAGGTTGGGCCCTATCTACCCTGAAGGAGGAGAATGTGACGATCTCCCAAGTGCCCCAAAGCCCATCGCCGCTAAACGACGTCCTGGACGACCACCAGGAGCTAAAGCAAAGGGTTGGTCCTCTCTACCTGCAACCAAAGCTATTACAAAATGTAGAAAGGTTCGCAAGGTCCATCCCTCACCCAGAAGGAAGCTGGCTGTGGGCTCATCATCTAGAGACAGCGAATCCTCGATATCTAGGGACTTTGGCGGGCCGAGCTCTGTAAATCCTCTTGCGGAGGTGAGTGCCCCTACCCCAGCCCAACCCTCCCATATGCCGCCTAACAAAACTAAGAAGCGATCGGTGGATTTTCATTCACCGTCAAATCCTCTTCCTTAAAAGTGGCAAGTTGGAACTGCCAGGGCCTGGGGAACCCCCTGACAGTCCAACGTATTCGAGAAATCAGGCGTAAACTCTTCCCGGAGATCCTATTCCTTTCGGAGACAAAAAACCCTGATCTCTATGTTATTGACAAGTTAAAATCACTGAAATATGATCGGCATCACCTGGTTCCCCCTCACGACGTCTGCGGCGGTGGTTTAGCCATCTTCTGGAAACAACACCTGGATCTACAGGTGATTTCGTCGTGTATAAATTACATTGACACTCAGATTCACTATAAAGGCAAACATATCTATATCACCTTGGTTTATGGAGACCCTGATAAAACAAAACGAAAGGCGATCTGGGACGATCTCATT